ACTTCAGCTTCAAACTATTCCATCAGCTCTGAAAATTCAGCTTCAGGGATAAACCTCCATGATGATCGTTTTGGAGCTGTGCCTATCACACATATGACCAGACATCTGTGCTCCTGAGAGCCATATGTGTCTGTTGAAAACCAACTGTGTTTAAAAGACAGGCAAACCTGTGACCCCTACAAAGAAAAGACAGAGGAGTAAGGACATCAGCCATGATCTGATCTGATGATTTAATAGCACCTAGCAATCAGGCTACTAGATTGCACTTAATAGTATTTAATCAAGAGGGATTGCTCCATGTAAAAAAAAAATTAAAAAAAAGCACAGCAATGAAAACTGTAATTTGTGGTCTCATTTATACTTCCATTGGTTCCACTGGGATTAGTGTTCTGTATGAATCATAATGGGACACTGATAGCTTGGCCAATGCTCAGACAGCACATCAGGGAAGGGAACTACATATAGTAATGTAACATCCTGTTTGGAGGCTTAAGAGGCAAAAACCCAGCAGCAATCACTTCCAAGGGTAGTAACTCAGCTCTTATTGCCTTCATAATGACTTCACAGTTATTCAGTCAATGAAAATGTAGCTTGATATTGAGAATCAAAAAGATGAATTAACAGTAAAATGAATTGCACTTACACATCCATGCCCTCCTTCAGTAGAGGACTGCAAAAACACAGATATACTCTTAAAGTATGTCTCCTCCTCTGTAGGGTGCTGAGATGGCTGAAAAGGAGGCAGGAGAAAACCCTTTCTTTACTAAACACTGTGTGAAGCAAAAAAAAAAGCTATTAAAAGCTGTAAGGAAATTTTCCATTGTAATTAATGAATAGTTCATGTTATAAAGTTCATGTTACCCATCATTTTGCCTGAGAGTGAAAACACAACAAAATTATTTTATGAGCTTCGGATTTGGCAAAACCAACATGCATGAAAGTGCCAAATTCCAGGAGGCTGGCCTTATTAGTTTTTGTATAAGATCCACTATTCCAGACAAAACAACTATAGTGCAATTAACTAAAAGCAAACAAACAAACAAACCCACCAAAATTAGCATAGACCATAGCAGTCAAACCCAAGCAAATTTAATCTTGCTTGATGTAAGCTTCCTTCCTGCCTCTCTGCCCAGCTCCAGGCAGTTCTCTTCTGTGTCTCAAGTCATGCTGGAAATAACTTACAAAGCAAACTCTTGGCTGAGGACCCCAAATGTGTTATGGTCAATGAACATATCCCCCGAAGACTTGCCTTACATCTAAAATGGAATACAAAGGATTTTACAACTATACAAAGGATTCTACAACAATAGCTAAAACAAATCCACCCAAAATAAATCAAGGGATTATCATCAAGCTGGATATAAGACAATGACAAAAGCTAATGAACAGAAGATTCACTGTGGCACGTCTAAAATTAGACTGCATTGACATTTGCACTGTCACGGGTTTGTGGAATACTCAAAGACATATTATTGTTGTAATCATCACCTACATCTTTATCAATTTGATAATTAGAGCCAGTTCAGTACATTGGTAGTCAATGGGTGACATGATAATTTCATAGAGGAACAAATGATGTAGTCGGTATTAAGATGGACAATTAGTGCAAATTGTAACGCTGGAAAAAAAATGTGAACAGCAAGTCTTCTGAAGTTCCTGGAAGAGCACAAACAGAAGGGACAGCACTACCTCTGTCACTATCCCCTGACACAGACACTCAGTCCTGAAGGCAATTCCCTCAGTCACCTGTACAGACAAAACCAGCCTTGTTGGCAATATGAGATGCAGCAAAGTGCCATCAAAGGAAAAGAGACAGGAACTTGGAGGTGGGAATGGAAGGAGAGGGTGGGAGAAGTTGGTGTTTAGATGATCTGAAACTGACACGGAATCATGCCTTAAACTGCTTAAAATAAGCAGGGTCATTTTAAGAGAAATGAGTTAAGGAATGACCATGTGAGTGGCAACCCTGGCAGTCTTGAGAATGTTGCAGCCTCTGTCTGGAATAGGGATGAGGAGGCAGGACAGGCTATGGAAGACAGAAAGCTTCTGCCAAGCTGGACCCGGCTAGAGCTTCCACCATGTAGCACCGGTCTCACATGCCTTATCACAGCACCTGAAACTGCATATAGCAGTGATCCTGCCCACGAGATGTAATGAAGAAAGTCCAAGTACAGTCTGAAGAAATCCAGCCAACTAAAAGAGAGAAAGGGAGAAAAGTAGTGGAACAATTGCCCTTGTATCACTGCATGAAATTGTACACTGTAAACGAGCAATAAAATCTGGCAAAAAAAAATATATAGGATTGAAAAAAGAAGAAAAGAATCTGAAGCTGAAGCTTTGAGACATTATGCCACCAAAACACAGACATTTCTTGAACCATCTGGGTAGTTTGATTTCAATCAACTATGTGCTTGCAAAATGTGTGGTTTGATCCATATGCAGAAATATTTCACTGAGCTGGGAAGTGACAAATCATAACACAGGTCTGGTGTAACTCCTTCGGAAATTCATTTTAGACCTCCCATTACCATAACGATGCTAATAAACTGGAAGTTGCAGAGATGAAGAGAAATAAAAGTTAGTTGCTAGCTTAAATTATGGTTTTTACACTTCTCAAAGAAGTGCATTCAGAGAATCACCAAATACATGACGCTGAATTCAAAGATGAGCAAAGTGCTGATTAGGTAAAAGATTGTTTATGAAAGTTTCCTGAAAAACAGGGTATTTTAGACCATGGAATAATCTCACAGGAAAGAAGCAGAACTACAAAGCCTGGCAACTGCTGAGGACGAAGTAACACCCTGGTGTAAGGGCAGACTCTGAGGTAACAAATCCTGAACGCACCTGTTCCTGTGCTTGATGAAAGGCAGGTTAACATGAGAACAGGACAGCTGCTCAACGAACATTAAATGTGACAGGAACAAGCCCCTACATCAGCAGCTCTCATTTTCAACACGACCTCTAATACTGCAATTGCCGGATCCATTCAGCTTGGTTTCACATATGCCTCCTTGTCCTCATGCCACTTCACTCTTACAATTATAACCTCTTCCATAAAATCAGGAATATATCTGCAGTTTTCCTCAAGTACAATTGACTATAGCATTCCTTGAAACGCCAGAAAATTGGCTTTCCTTTCAGACTAAGCACATTTTTACACAAAAGCATTTCCAGTCCCAGTTTCTGCTGCCATAGCCATTTCGTAGCCAGAAGAATGGGCGCTTATTTAAAGTGTCAATAATAGAAAGTAATACAAGCGTGACACATCCCGAGGCGCTGTGAGCTGCTCCTGACGGAGCTGCTTTGGGAGCACGACCCTTCCCCGGGTTCTGTCGGTCACTGTCACACCATTATCGGATCAGCCCGGTCAGGGCAGCTTTGCTGTTCCTTTAGTGCTGCGGGTGGTGGTGAGCAGCGACGATGCTGAGAGCTTTAGCTCTTTAGTGTAGAAACGGTTGTTTTTGGTTTTTTTTTACAATAAGGTGTTTTGACTTCGGCTTGCAGATACAGCGCTGTATTTCTTTCAACTAATTAATGTGTTTTCAGCCCAGCTGCATTAGAATTTTAACACCAAACAAATCCACAACAAAACCAAAACCAGCAGACCAACAAAACCCCCTTATAAATGAGAAACAAAATAAAACACTGCGCTGTTTCAGCACGCAAAGCCTCTGCAAATACACATGAATAATAATTTCAAAAGCAAGCATTAATGAAACACAACACCACTAAATCCATGTCGGCGGCTGGTCCTGCCAATCTAATTGCAGCTCCCAATCAAGGTGACTTTAGGGGGAAAATCTTCCCCTTGAAGGAAAAATCCCCCCCTCACAGGGTCGGTCCACTCAGGACAGCCTCCTCACAGACTCAGTCCCCTCCTAGCCCCGGTCCCCTCACAGGCAGTCCCGCCCGGCGCGCGCCCCCTCAGCCTCCGCCCTCTTCCCTCCCCGCCTCCCAGGCGCGCACGTGCTGGAAGCAAACACCGCGCGGCGCATGCGCGGCCCGGCCGCCCCTCCCTCCGCCCCCCCCACGCTCGGGGCTGGCGGGGCCGGGGGAGGAGCCTCAATCTCCGGGCGCCTGATTGACTGATGTCATTTCCCCGGCTCCGTGCTGCGCCCGCCCATTGGCTGCTCACGGACCGCTATCTTCACAGCGGCGCCTGATTGGCTGTTGCCGCGCCCGGCCGTTGCCCTATTGCAATTCGGGCCACGCGGATTAGGGCATCTAAACCCCGCCTCTTGCTCCAGCCCCTCCTGCCACCAACACCAGCTCCGCCTTCCCCGCCTTTTCCTACCTCCCATTGGTCCAGAAACGCGTCGCTCCTCCCTCTCGCCCGCGCGCTGAGCTCTCCGATTGGGCGACGGCCGAGCTCGCTCGGCTCCCCCCTCCACGGCAGCTGATAAAGTTTTGTTCGGAGGCGCTCGGGCCCCGCCCCCTCAGCCCGGCCCCGCCCCCCACGGTCCCGGCCCCGCCCCTGACCTGCCCGAGGGGGGGCGGCCGTTGAGGCGCGCGCGCGCTCGCGGCGGCGGCACCTCCCGTCCCCTCCCGTCCCCTCCCTCAGTCCCGCTCGGCGGCCGCGGCGGTAGCACCTGGTGTGCCGGTCTGGGCAGAGGTGCCTCCTTCTCCGCTTCAGCTCCGCTATCCTCCGGGCACGGTGAGCACACCCGCGCGGAGCCGGGCTCGCCTCCCGAGCCGCCCGCTCCGCGACGGGGGAGCCGGGGCGGTGCTGGGGCCGGCGGGGCGGGATGGTGGGAGGCTGCGGGGGCTGCGGGGCTCTGCCCCCGCCCTGGCACCGCGGAGCCGCTGCGGACGCGGCCGCCTCTCATCGCGGCTGGCGCTGGTCACGCTTGTCGCCCGGGACCAGGCTGGGCTTTCGCATCGTATTTCATGTCTGTCGTATTGCCTGGGAAACTTCCCCAGCCCGATACAACTTCGGGCAAAAAGGCAAAAGAAAGAACGCCGAGCCATTTCATTTAATGTTATAGCTGCTGGAAAACACAGCCCGGCAAGTTCCTCTTAAAATATAATTGCAACATCACTCCTTTAGAGGAAGCGAGACCTGGAACATAGGACCGCAGGGAAAGCACTTAATCTCTCCTTTTGTGTAACGTGGGAAAAGACTGGGCTTTTCTGTGCCGTCGGATTCTCCGCTGGGAGGTTTGATGTCTTTTAAAGTATTCCGAGGTTTTTCAGAAAGATTTTAAGTGCAAATTGCTCCCGTAGGGCTCTAATCCGGTGAATTGAAAATGAGGTTGGGTATTGGAAGAGTCTGCTGTGCTGTTTTTCTGGCATTTTGGGTAGAAAACGCAAATGAAGCCATGCTGGTGCTGGACGTGGCTGGTCTGAAATTGGGGTATATTCATTCGCCAGCCCAAGGCTCTGACACCCCTTTCTGAAACTTGTGTGCGCTTTCTTCTGTCTTTGGCTTGACTGACCTTGCTCAGCAGAATCCTTTGTATCTTTGCTACTTCCAAATCGTGTGTAACATCTGCCAGTGCTATAGAAATACATAATATAGTTAGGGTTTGGGATGTCCGTCTTGCTTCCTGTTTGATTTTTTTGAGAGAGATCCTTTCGAAAGTCAAAGACTGAGATTAATGCTTTTCTTTTTTCCCCTCATTCCAATTCAACAGATGCAGTTTATGTTGCTTTTTAGTCGCCAGGGGAAATTGAGACTCCAGAAGTGGTATGTCCCATTATCTGACAAAGAAAAGAAGAAAATCACAAGGGAACTTGTTCAAACAGTATTAGCCCGCAAACCGAAAATGTGCAGCTTCCTGGAATGGAGAGACCTGAAGATTGTCTACAAAAGGTGGTTCTGTCTCACTAACCTCGTAATTGCCATACATTACAAACCGTGTATTAAGTAGCAAGAAAATAATGAAGGTTGTTTTTGTTTTGTTGTTTTTTTTTTTCCTTCCCTCTGCTGGTTACAGAGAAGACTGACTTTTCCCTTGAATCTAATTTGATAACCAAGCAGAAACCATTCATGTGTGGAAAATCACTCATGCATTTAGAAATGTACTGAAGAGATGAGCTTTCTTCCTACTTTCATAAGGAGTGGCAGTTCTTCTTGGTACTCTGTTTAGGTTCACACAGTACATACATGTATTTCAGATTTAATAAGTGATAAAAATTTTCTAAATATTTACCTCAAGCAGTGGCTTCATAAATTACCTGGAAATGTAACTTGCTTCTAAAGGCTCATAGAAATAAGGAAATAATTTTCCAAGTACTTGGTTTGGTGGGGTTGTTTTTTTTTTTTTGTTTCTTTGTTTCATGTTTGTTTTTTGTTTATTTTTTTCCCTGTAAGTACAAAAAGGGATTTTTCAGAATTGAAAAAATCATGGCTAGCTTTTGGTGGAAATACTGTGTAATTTTGTTCACAATAATTTCATTTTTTAGTTGTTCCCTAGTCTTTCTAGGAGTATTTGGCAAGTATTTTTTAGCTTTATGCTGATCTGTAGAATGTATTGCAGTGTAGTGGTGTGACCATAATTCTTCTCCAGAAATAACAGTAATCCTCCTCCTGATGTGGTTGGCTGCATCTCTTCCATCTAAAGGTGGTGCTGCAAAGCCTTGAGTTATCTCTCTTCCCTAGTTAGTTGTAAACCTGAGAAGGTTTATGCATTCCTGTTTTCTTGTGGGGATGGCAGATAGTTTGTGCCCCACAGTAAATATTGTTGTATTCCCTGTAGACAGGACAGAAAGGACTGGACCAGAAATGAGGAGTTTGAAACTTTCCCAGGATAACAAATGGGTAGTATCAAATATGTTTAGACTTTTAAGTGCTGCTCTCATATATACTTTGGTTTGTGAAAAGGCATGCGTGTGAGTATTGCTAGTCTGCCTAATGCACGTAGTTCTTCAACATGAGGAGGAAAGAGGGGAAGCAATGCATGAGGCTGTGCTAATAGCATCCACAATTTTTTCTGCCTCTTGATTTCTTCACAAAACTCCTTGAGCATGTATGTTGACAAGCTTGCTCAAGCACTTGCTGTGCTTCCTTCTGTGTTAATGCCTGCGAGTGCCTTTTCAGCTGGGCTTTCATGGGACTAAATCAGAAAAATGAAGCATTAGTAGGCCAGGCTGTTTCCTTCCTTAGCCAGTCTTGAACAGCAGTAGCTGTTCTGGGGATGATTCCACACAGCTGCTTTCCCTCCCTGTTTGTTGCTGTCAACAACTACTTGCCATGTCCTTTTGTGTCTAGGGAGCTGGTGGAAATTTGGGTAGGACTGTTTGAGTTGCTGAGCGTTGTGGAGTTCTTACATCACAATGGTGTGTTGTGGGTGCTGTGGTCAAGGAGAATGAAGAAATTTTCTGGGAGATGTCTACGTCTGGCTAAAAATGGTCTAAACTGCAGTCTGTCTGCTGGACTGCTGGTGTGCACAGCTGACTGCAGTAGCTTATTTCACTCTCTGCAGACCAGTCTGGCACAGACAGCCTATGAAACTGCTAAAGATGAGCTTGTACCAAGCTGATGAACATCTCAACTTTTTTTTGACCTAAATATCACCAGAAGGACTAAGTATAAGAAGTGATAGTTTAAATGTCTGAATCTGGTAACAGTAATAGCTCTTAGGTTTGTGGGACTTACTCCCTTCATTGCATCATTATTAAAAACGATGAGCACCAGCTAGTATGATTTCTTTCTAAAGGGTGACTTTTTGTAGCTGAAAAGGTGGTGGCTAAAAGAGAAACACACCAGAAGGAGCTCTGTGGCTTGTGAAATTGCAAAAGGTGCTCTCAGTTCCTCTTGAGCATCTCTAGAGGATCTCTGCTCAAATTTTTTCTTGTCTGATCTATTGCTGGGAAGGATCTGAACCTACTGGTGCAAATATTTTTTCAATATAAATTATAAAAGTATGTGCCTATTGCTATTTTGAGTCTTAAATTATTGGAATGTAAGTGCTGCTTTTGTTTTTAGAGTGTGTTTATTGTTCACGTGTAGGAGAATTGAATCTAGATATTGCAGCTCAAAGAATGATTGGCAGTATCAGAATTATATTCATCATACCTTTTTGCAGAAACAAAAAGAACTCAAACGAAGAAGTTGGCAAGACAGTAGCTTTAGCTTCCTTATGATACTTAACATTTAAGACTGCTGGACTATTTTGATTAGCCTCCTTAGCTCTGCAGCATTTCATCTTTATAGGATGTTTTCTGAATCTTACAGGAAATAGATCTTAAAATACATCTAAACGTATGTGATATAGCTCTTATTTCCCTCTGCTTTCATACATGTAGCATTTATAATGGTTGCAACATAGGCTCAGTCATTGCCTTAAGTTTTTTCCTTCAGCACTTCAAAACACGGACAGAAAGGTGTCCAGCTTTTGTCATGGTGCATGAATTGGCTTATATGTATTCTGTAGCTGGTTTGGAAGATAGTTTTTCAGGCTGATAGACACCAGAAGATTAAAAAGAGGATGCGAGCTTCTAACTTCAAGAAGCATAGAGATTTGAAGTGACTTGCTGGGAAAATAAAAAATTAAATATGGGAAGCCAACAACAATTACGCTTTATGAAAATAGAGGGGGAGTCATCTGCAGACAGCTGATTAGAAACTTAACAAACACAACTGATGTGTTTGCTCTTCGCATTTTTGTAATTTAAAAAGTAACATAGTGGTTTTGGAGCATATAGGGTAGAAGTTCATGCAGTTTTCTTCCTGTGGCAGAAAAAACGTGTTAAATGTTAAAATTTCTAATTTTGCTAAAGAAGGAACTTAGGATGTGATTTTTTTTTTTTTTTCCTTTGAAGACTTCTGTTCACTGTTTTAGCTTCTGGCAATATGAGTTATTCTGATTATGTAGTATATTGCAGTCAAAATCAGAACTTGGAGAAAAACTTAGAAATTTTATTTTGTTAGCATTTGGTTAACTGCATCCATGGGACTTAGTTATTGTTGATTAGTTATTTGATTAAGGATTGTGGCTTTGCTTTTATGTGTCAGTTTGGAACTGTATTTGGAATATGATATTATGAAACTACCATAGCTTTTGCTGCTCTTGATGTGGCAGTTGTCTTTTACTTTTGCGCAACATAACCGTAATCAGAGGTTATGTTAAAGCCTTACATCAGAATAAGTTTTAAAACTTGCTTTCTACCCTCCCTCCACTGAAAGAAGCAATGAAAGAGCCTATTGTGCAGGTATTGTGCCTCTTAAAGTATTGTGAACTGAAGGTACAACCATGTGGCCAGTGGGATGTGCCAGTTGGCATGATCCCTCTTTTTCCTTATGTTTAACTTAGCCAGTTGCACCTCTTAAAAGTATTACTGTGGTGTTGATTAGGCAGCTTTGTAAAACTGGCTGAACGCAATGATTATAGTGAGTTAGATACTTGGGCTTTATAATTTTAATTAGATCAGGTCGTCTTTGTACAGAGTTCTAGTTTGTGTGGCGCTAGGAGGACCTCAGTATCAAGCAGCAACAGCTTTTTCTTAGAGAATTAGCAGTATCAAATTCTTGTTCATTACAGAACTGCTGGGGGCTATAGCCTTGCTGTAAGAAACTGGAAAAATGCTTTACTTTGGTAGACTCTGTCCTGAAGCCTCAGAAGTTCATGTTTTATTAAAGAAATGTGTAAAGTTGTGGGACAAGAAAAAAAAACTTTTGTCAAGCACAGCTTATTAGTAGTCCCAATTTTCACTGGGTCAGCTATCAGCAAACCACAGATTCTCGGCCTCATTAAGCACTTGTCTGCCTCTTGGTTGTCATTTGGAGTTCAGTTCTGTTTGTAGCAAACTTTGTAAGCTGTAAATTTCTGAAATTGAGATCTACATGCAAAGTGACTTAGATGCTGACAGACTTATGGCTTGTTTGCAGGCGTACTTGGTGACAAACTTCCAGGGATGACTTCAAGCAGGTATTCTCTCATCTAGAAGGAGAACTCTTCTGAGTTGGTAGGATTTGCAAGTTTTGCTCTGCCCACAGTGACCTGATCTCTCAGCAGAGTTACTGAACCTGACTGTGAGAGCAGAAGAGGACAACTTTTCTGAAACATTGCCTGCCTTGTTTTGAGGCTTCCCACTGCTGAATTATTGTAGCTCTTGAGAGGAAGATGCATTGATTTGTTTCCTATAAAAAAAATAAATCCTGAGGCCATCTGTCTGAAAGCAGGAATTTGCATGAGTATTATACCTTCTGTGTTACCTTTTTGTTCTTTAATCCTGTATTACGTTTTCGGATGATTTTGTCCAAACAGTTTTTGGTCTCTCTGGTTTTGGTCCCCTTTCTGATAAGTGGAGGATACTAATCATAAAATACTTTCCTAAATGAGGGTAAGCAGCTGAGTTGAGTCTGAGTATTATTTTAACAGTATTTAGTGAGATAAAAAGAGACCAGAAGTGCAATAGTAATAAAAAAAGCAGAATGTTTGTTACAGACTGCACTTTATTTACTTTTGGGTATGTACTTTTCTATCAGGGTTTGCCTTTTCATTGGGTGCATATGAAAGGTTTTGGTCAGGCTCATTAGGAAGAAGATGTTTCTGCAGAGGAGAAATCTTTTTGAGCCTGATTAATCTGCTTGTCTTTGTGTGGATACTGTCCATGTAAACTTCTACACTCGGCAAAACTTCCAGTGTCTGCTGTGGATTATAAGTGAACGCTTTTTTTCTGAAGCCATTCCTGCAGAGGAAAAAAATGAAATAATGCCTCTGAGAATTTGGATCTGAAGCATTCCTTTGTAGTATGCTCATGCCCTTCGGTATGACTTGTTTATACTCTTCTGCCATTTGCCATTCAGACTTATTAAATCTGCATTTGTTTTCTTTTGTCGAGTAGTGATCCATTAGTCATGGTTGCTACTTAAAAAATAAATACCAAAATATTCTCTGCATATAATAATAGATTCCCAGGCCTCCATTTTGTTTTGATACCCACTGAGTAGTTCTTGTTTCTTGGTCTTATTTCTCCAGAACTGCAGTTGGCATAGCTTGAATGTGCAGTCTACTTGCTAGCTGCCAAACATGGTCTTTTGAAAATATGTTACTTTCCTCTTTTAAATGAGGACACTGAGAGCAGACCATTTTCTGAGAAAGTATTTTGTGTTGGTCTTACTCTCTCCCCTCCCCTCTTCTTTTTCCATAAAATAGTTCTGTGCATCAAGAGAGACTCTTAAGTACTAAGGAAGCAGAGGAACTGTCCCATGTCAATAAACTTAAAATATTTCAGTCAAATTTGATTTGATAAGGTCTGCTGGTACATAGTTCAACTTGTGTTGAAGCACTGTAAGGAAACAGTTTAACTGCACTTCATCATAATCAGTGCTGCTCATCTGAAGGTGATGAAAGGCTTTGTTTAGATGGATTTGGCCTTACTGTTGGTGATTAGTGTAAATGTCAAATAACGTGTCAATGTTCCTTTTTGCTACAATGAAATATGATAACATGGAGCTTGGCTCACAAATTCCTCAATAGGTTTGAAAACACGCTTTTTCTTCATAATATTGGTTTCCAATACTTTTTAAAATAGTTAAGGTTCCTTATACAGACTGAATATTGCAAGGTACTGCAATCACTATAAATGTCCTTGAGAAATTAGTGAGGCATAAACATAACAATGTAAAATCAAAAGAACCCTGCTCAGATAGGACTTCTGATGAGCTGATGAATCCCCATGGTGAAGAGATGAAAGAAGGAGGGAATGAAGGTGTCCTTCAATGGAGGTATTCCTCTCTTCCCCCATCATGTTTTGTGGTAGGATAGACAATAATGTTTCGTAGTTTAAAGATTTTGTATAAAAGCAATTCTGATTAATCTTTCATGTTGAAGCTGTAGCAATATGATTTGGAGAGTGTGGGAGAAAGGGGGACATTTTCAGATCATAAATGGTACTGGATAGGTGCCTAGGAGACAAATTTCAACATAGCTGAAAATAAAGCAGGGTGTTTTCAGAACTTCTAGCCAGAAAGTCGGACAAGTCCCAGCTGATAAAATATATGTAATGATTAAAAGATGAGTGGGTTTCTCTGTATGGGAAACAACTATGCACCTTAAACTAGGTATTCACATCAGAATGAATTCTTTTTCAGTAGGGCTGGCTGCTCAGGAGTGCTTAATGTGGCCAGTTGTCCCCTCTTTAGAGGCAACAAAAGCTGTTTCTGGTTAATGTAAATTAGCAGTTACAACAGATGGTACTTGAAATCTAGTTTGTGCCATGTGTGACTGAAAGGCATATGGTTTTGGCATGTTAGAAAAGACTAAATGGGGTTTTCAGCTTTCATTCCTGCTTTGTTTTTTTAAATTAGCTTTCTTTAAACACAACTTGAACAAATGTATGGTAGAGCACAGTAGAATTGAATGGTGTTTTTGTTAAGGTGGAACTCGATTGTATCTGAAGTTATGACTTCCCTATCTTCCCATGGAAGTGGATTGCTAGAAACTGTTTGATGCCCTCTCATCAGTCTGATGTCAGGGCATTTAGTAGGGATTGAGTTGTCGACTTAGTAGTAATTGGAGTGGATGACATTGGTGTTGGTTTTGAAGTTTTTTGAATTTTTGTAATTCTCCATAAAGACCAGACCCTAATTACTAATTCAGTTTATCCTTCTTGAGGCATTTACCGTGGTTTTTAGTATCTGTGTATAGCTTACATGATGAAAGTTTAACATTGGATTAGTTGATTAATATACTGGTGTATAGATCTTACAAAGAGAAAAGAAAATGTCATCTCAGAACTCTCCCATGATGCCACAAAATCAAATCTATTTAGTTCTACAGCCACATCTTTGGCTGTTCTAGTTATGTCAGCTAAAGGATGGCAAAGAGTGAAGTCTCCCTTTTACATGTGTGTGTCTTCTGGTCTTTCAGCCATTCTTTTGTAGGATTTGCTTGGTGTGATTTGGAGTACCAGTATGCTGAACTTGAGTAAGGACGACTGCTGAGAATGTGATACTCCTCAAGTGCGTTCATTTTGCTTATGCTCGTATATGCTAACAGGATTTTGTTATTACAGATATGCAAGTCTCTATTTCTGCTGTGCTATTGAAGATCAGGACAATGAACTAATAACTTTGGAAATAATTCATCGCTATGTAGAACTTCTTGACAAGTATTTTGGCAGTGTGAGTTAGTTTCTTTATATTTTGTCGTTTTATTTTAAGCCCACAGCACTTTTACAAGAACATGACCAACTAGTAATTGAAAAGGTGCATTTAATACGTTTTGTGTGGCTTGCTTGGCCAAACTAAACTGAAGGTTGCCTCTATTAAAATACAAAATTAAATTATTGATTTGGAGAAGAAGTGTTATTAATCTGATGTTAATTGCCTATATTTGTTTCATTTCATAGTAGTCTCGCTTGGGGTCAGATAAAATCTTACTCTTAGCAGGAAGCTTTTCTTCTCCCTGGCACTGCTCTAGTGTGAGCACTTGTTACGTCTGCTCCCAAAGGAGACGGTTGTGAAGTGGCAGGAATGGTAAGGAAAGACAAGAAATACGTCTGCTTACTCAGACTGCAGACACAAACAGCTGTAGTAATGTACATGAACATTCCTAGAAAAACTGGTGCTTATTCTGCCTTCCTTCATAGTCCTTCTGACTATGAAATACACAGACTGAACAAGAAATTTGAGATTATTTGTTTTCATATTTTTATGTAAGATTGCATGAGCTGCCTTTGCATACTGCAGGCAACAAGAGAACTTTGATAGGCAATATGCTCTTCCATCTTGAAGAGCTATGTCTTACAGACTGCTGTGAATTGAAGCCTTTTTAACCACGAAAGCTTTTTTCAGAGGTTGCTGTAGCTGTTTTTAACTCAAGCAAAAAATATGATTTTTTTCCTCCAAGGTGTGATTTTTATGTTGCCCCAGTCCTTACAAGTTTACAGCCTTAGGCTAACGTCTTGATTTGGTAAAGTTTGGTGAAGCTGTGAACAAGTTCAGTTTTGTGAGAGGATATACCTCAAGTGAGAGTATCCTCCCACTTAGCAATAATGCTTGATATTCTTTTTAGGTCTGTGAACTTGATATCATCTTCAATTTTGAAAAAGCCTATTTCATTCTGGATGAGTTCCTTTTAGGAGGGGAAGTTCAGGAGACATCCAAGAAAAATGTTCTTAAAGCCATTGAACAAGCAGATCTTTTACAGGAGGTAAGCAAATGCAACTTCTCTGGCCGAAGTGTCAGCATGGTAGGCTGTGACTCAAAAACCTCTTATTCCTCTAAGCTTCTAGAAGGTATTTTTCAGCATGCTTAGCATGTAGTTTTAGCTGGTTGTCCTAAGTGTGCAATAGGATGATGTTAGCTGCTCTTTTCGTTTGGTTTGGCATGTGGATGTTGTAAACTACTGTGACTTCGTGTTCTGCTAGTAATGCAAGTGGCTGTTTTGTGTTTATACCTAGATAATTGTAGATCGTGCTGATTTAACTTAGTATTGTTCATGTGTCTTCCATTCCTTCTTTTTATTTATTAACCATTAGTTTTTTTGTCATACCCTGATGCATGTTCACTTCTTTACTGGTTCATTGCTGAAATCCAGAAGCTAGACTCTCTTTGAGACTCATTCAGGTATAGTTCTAATTAGTTCTTAGACCTGCTTTTCTGCTATAGGCTGCTTATTGTGGAACATTTTTGCGCTGACAAAGCAGTAATAGTAGTGCCATAGAAACATACAGAATAAAGTATAAGAACATTGTTTTTTTCACTTTGAATGCTTTTGCTGTTTACTGTTATCACTGAAGAACGATGGATTGCATGTCTACCATTTAAAAAAAAAATCATGTGAGGGTATTCAATGGTATAGAAAAACTTTATAATTTCTCCATATTTTTCCATCCTATGCTGGTTACTTTGAATTTATTTGATTTTGTTTGGTATTCTTTCTTACTGAAATGTACACCATTAAGGTCCTTGAATGTCTAAATGGGAATCAAAAATTCTGGTGTGCTGGGGGAATCATCAGTCTTGTCTGCAAGTCAGTGGAACATATGGTTTAACAGGGATGGTTCACCTTTATATTTTAAAGTGGGCTGGGGTTTACTGCCTAGATTCTATATAGATCCAAGCTGCTCTGTTTTTCCCCCATGTGAACCTTCTGTTTTGTTATTTTCTCCGATTAATTAATTGCTTAATTTTCTTAGAAGCCTTCTGTGTTCCACTTGGTAGTCTTTTGTTGGACATAATGTTGGTAGGATGGGGAAAACACACGGTGTTCTTTACCCTGATAGCTGTGTTTGTAAGCCCTTCAGAGTATACGCAGATCCACTGCACATTAAAGTTTTTATCATGAACAAGGTCAGACATTACACACAGATCTGCTACCCTATTTTTCTAGAAAGGAAATATATGCACTTATTTACTACTTGTGTTCTGATTCAATTTAAGTCCTCCTTTACTCTTTGTAGGAATTATGTTAACCAGAAGTCCTGTTGCAGTTTACAAAGAGGGGAGAAAAATAATCTGTTTATTCTCTTAAAATCTTTTGCTCTTTATATGAAAACAGATGAAACAGATTAGTTATAGATTTCATTTTGTCTCCTGCGAATGTAGTTAATTGCACATAAAGTAGAATAACTAAATTCTTTTTTGTTGTTACTGTTTTTGACCTTTATTTTCACTATATTTGTGGGGCGGTTTAAAGAAAAAAAAATTCTGTTTCTAGGAATTCATTACTATTTTTCTTTCCAAGCAACGAGCATTCTCTTTTCACAGAGAATATAATTTCATATATTAATGTAACTTAAGTTTAGAATCTTATGCAAAGGGAAATACCACTTCTGAAATGTGAGACTTTTCCCTAGCCCTGGTAGCTTTACTCTGATCACCTTTCCTTTTCCCATCTTTAGGAGATTTTTAATTGTCAGTGTTGATTAAATAATTCTGATTAACTTGAAATGTGGCAGTTTATCACAGCACCACTGGAGTCTTATGTCGGGTTTCTGTCTTCTTCATTCTTAGTTATATTGACTGTTGGTCAAATATAAAACTACTCCCTATATCTGCATTTTAGTTTATATACCCCGTAAAAGTCTGGGTTCATATTTAAATTGAACTTCCAATAAATTTGGACTCTTTTCTGTAGAAGTTTGGTTTTGTATCAGCTGCTGCTATGTAAATGAAGGATTTGATGAAGAGAGTTGTTAAAATAACAGTTTCTCACATACGGAGAATTTTTGGTACTTTGAGTTAATATCTGCTTCCCAGAATACTTCAGAACTACCAGACTGAAACATGGTGTGATTCCAAATGCAAAACATATTTCTAGCAGGGTCGACATGTGTTTGTTTTTGACCATGACAGATTTTAATTATGTGCAACAAAGTGATTTTTATTTGACCTCGAATATTGATATTGTCAAATACATATATATATGTACATATATACACACATACATATATATAGTTGAATACACAATATCATTAATTGAATACACAACATTAGTAATGCTTCTTGCATTAGTGTATGAAGTACTTTAAAGATGAAGAGCTGTACAGAATACGTATACAAAAGAAAATCATTACAGATACATTAAGCGACTATTTGTGTAATGTTAAGAGGAAATACACTAAGGCACAAATTGCTGAGTGGTGAATTAGTTCTTAATACCTTGCCTACTTGTATTTGCTGTGAAGTTTTCCAGGATGTACTTCTATGTCTGAGAGTTTGTCTGTAAGTTTTTGCTGCTGTGAGGTCCCTTTACTAACTGCTACAGTTTGTGTAATTGAAACACATTAACTTGTTAAATCCCTCTCGCCTTCACATTCTTGTTAGTTCTTCAGGAATGTACTTAGTTTAAGTATTCATTCCCTATTCCCCTCCCCCATATTTATTACCACCTGATAACTTATCAACAGTCAGTCATCAATACTGGCAGTGGTACCCAGATGAAGGGTAGTAAAAGGTCATTAACTCCAGTGCTTGCATTCTTCTTTGTCACTATTGTAGAAATGCTTCTGTTCAAAAGAATGCTATTACATGTCGCTGATCATTTTATATCTTGTTTGCTAGAGAGATTTTAATACTTAACTAGTGATTACAAAGGCATGCACTGCTGAAAAGGTGGATTTTGCTTGTGTGAACAACTCAATTATACTCAAAGAAGTTGGTAGATGCAGTGTGTTGTTGCATTAATTAAATATATACATGTGATGTGTGGAACAGCTAAAAGATAAGCCTGTCCATCATTTTGAGATGCTTGAGTTTAAGGCATGAAACTACCAATGACAGATGTTCTATGCAAAAGAGAGGATTTGATTCTTTCAGAAGTCTACTTGCTGTGGTTTTATTTGATGGCTTGAGTAATTCAGTATGGTGCTTGGATATTTGGGGTCATTTACTGTGCTAAAATGATAAAATCAAGGAGTTAATAATTCTAATATTTAAACCGAGCAGTCATGTATATATTTGAAAGCAAATCTGTATAGGCCTGCTCATCTTCATTTGAAGAAGGAAAAATTTCCTAAGCATTTGCTATGAATGAAAATGATTTTTGTTGATTATCCTAAGTAAATTTTAGAAAAATATTTTGGAAATAATCCCCATTTTGTCCACCACTATTCTTTTGTAGCGTTTTTGTATAGTTTTTTAGTATTTGATTGCAGAACAAATCTAAATACTTATATTTATTTTTTAAGAGGTATCTCAATAAAAAGGCCAGTGAGTCTGTCCACAAATCACACTTGCTTGTTTGTGTCACTGCTTCAGTAGTGATCAAAAGCCTAAAAGCTATGTGAATGTTTTTTTTTCTTAAGCTCTTGCAGTTTGGCCTCAGGCAGTATTTACTAGTCCTTCTACATGAAGAATAAGAGATAAGCTATCAATTAACCTTATTTTCTTTTCTATTTCAAACCCTTGCTTCATCCTTTATTCAGACAGTGTTCATGTTGACTGACTTGCCTTAGATGCTGAGGGTTGCTGCATAGATTTAAGCTTTTAGTTTTAGGACGAACATCTTTGGAAATGAAACTGGTGAATTTCCTGCATATGCCATGAGAATTTTCTTCTTGGAGATGAAAGGTGTGTGTTAGGTTGTTCTTGAGATTCGCCAAAACTCCTTCATTTTGTCATTAGCACTGGTAAAAGAAAATTAAGCCTCCAGTGGGTAGTAGTATAAGTGATTTTGTCTGGTTTTGGAAACAGCCTTTGAAAGGACTTATTACCATTTGCCTGAGAAACTTATCACAATGAATGCAATTAATTCAATCTTCACTTAATGTTCTTTCTTAAATATGGACTACTGAAATAGACTGCCTTCCTGAGTTGGCAGTGGCATTATTTGCCTTGGCTCTACCTGTGTTCCCCTGAATGTGAAACAAGAATGAGTAATGGAATCTTTATTATCATGGAGATCCAGCTGCCTTGACTGCCACCTGCTCTTCACACATAACTTCCATCTCAGTTTCAGGTGATCAGCTTTGTTGGTCTGTTGGTCACTGCAATTTTAAGATGTGTACCTGCTTGATTTTAGGCACAGATAATGATCTACAATTACATTTTAGAAGATAGATATATATGGGGGCCTATGAGAGTTACTGTGAATGAGAAATGATAGATCGTTAGTTCATTATTTAGGGATTATGCAGTAACTGTGATTTTTATGGATTTGGAATCCCTCCCAACTCACAGAAGAACAAGTTGTAGTGTTTTGGTAGCTGATGCTTTTGTAAAATGAGTTTCAGAACTGAGTCTCTGGAGACATATTTACAGAAGAAAGGTTTATAGTACTGTTAGTGTTTGCGACTCCCCATGATACGTCATGGCAGTCAGATGCAGTCCCAGGTGACTAGGAAGATGGGAGCTTTGTACCCATTTTTAAAAAGGGTAGAAAGGAGGACTTTGGAAATTACCAACCTGTCATCCTGACTGCTGTCTGTACCTGGACAGATCATGGAACAGATCCTCCTAGGAGCTGTGTTAGGGCATGTGGAGGACAGGAAGTGATTTGGGACAGCCAGCAACGGCTCCACCGTTGGGAGCAGGGCAAGTTCTGCCAACCCTTTCTATGAGTTGGCCTTCTATAATGGAGCAGCTACATCAGTGGGCCAAGGGGGGGGCTACAGATGTCATTTACCTGGACGCAGTTCCCCGTAACATTGTTCCCTCTAAATTCAAGAGGGATGGATTTGATGGGTGGACAGTTGCATCCCAAGGATAGTGGTCAATGGCTAGGTGTCCTGATGAATTTCAGTGGTGCTCCTCAGGGGTCAGTAATGGGACCAGTGCTGTTTAATGTCTTGGTTAATGACATAAAGGGATTGAGTGCACCCTCAGTAAATTTGAAGGTGACACCAAGCTGAATGGTGCAGTTGACACGCGTGAAGGATGGAATGCCATCCAGAGGGACCCAGACATAGCTGGAGAAGTGGGCCCATAGGAGTCTCACAGAGTTCCACAAGATTAAGTACGAGATGCTGCACCTGCTCAAGGCAATCCCTGGTATCTGTACAGGTGGGAGAATGCACAGGTCAAGAGCAGCTGAGAAGGATTTGGGGGTGCTGGTGGATGAGAGGCTGTACATGACCTGGCAGTGTGTGTTTGCAGCCCAGAAAGCCACTTCTGCCAGGGCTGCATCAGGAACAGTGTCCCAATAGGTCAAGGGAGGGGATTCTGCCCTTCTGCCCTGCTCTGGTGAGACCCCACCTGGAGTGCTGCATTCAGCTCGTAGAAATGAACCTCGAAAGACTGTGAATTTAATTGTAGCAGACAGCTCTGTAAACCTTGATATTTCTGTATTTGTAATAGATAATTTTAAACTGTTCTTGCGCTGTGGAGTAGACTTGCCTGGAAATACTTACCAAATCATACTCTTATGTTTAAAGCAATAGGAAGTATTCCACAAAGTGAATAGCAGAATTGCATCTCTTTTTCCCTAGTTGTAATGGGGGAAAAGGAGGTTAATGCTTCCAGATTGAAATATCTTCTTGAAAAAGTGGTATTGAGTATTCAGGAAGTTAGCATATCATGGTTTGACCTCTTCCCATGCTCAGTCTGTTTTTTGTTTTTTGTTTTTTTTTTTGGTTGTTGTTTCTTTATTTAAGTGTATACACATCTAAGATGTGACTAGTTTTATTACATCAAAGAAATCAAAATTAGACGATATTAAGACTCAACAAGTTGATGGAGGAGTCTTTCATGGAAGTATTAAATATGCATTCATCAAGCTTTGCAAATTGAAACATAAAAAAGTTTCAATTGAAAATAAGACAAATGAGCATAAGGAGTCCTTACTGTCTCGTAACTGTTCAGTACCCTCTCTGATGCTGTGAATTGCAATACTGATCAGTTTGCAAACTGTGAACTTTATCATTTATTGATATAAGCAATTCTTGTAGAACTGTTGAGGGTGTATTAATAATACACTGAGCTCTTTGTAGATTTTAATTCTAATAAGGGTGTATTTATTCTGAACATTGAATTGATAGATTCTTTTCCAGAGACATTCTCCTGTCCTCAGCAATAGAAGCACTATGTCAGGGTGATGCAGTGAAAATTTTAGCACTGCTGAATGTACCATAGCTGTTCTCAGGAGTTTAGTCATGTGCTGCTTGTCAATTAACATAGTAAATTCAATAAACAATTGCAGAAGGCTGCTGGAGAGTAAGGAGTATCTTATCTTTGAAATCGTGTTCTTACTGAACACTTATATTAATCTGCATTTTAATAGAACAAGTTCATTGGATGTGGCAGAATGTTGAAAAGAACAGTGTTAGTATTTGGATCTTGAGATTGTGAGGAGAAAATTCCATTTTTACTCTCTTGTCTGAGGTGATGTGTCATGTTGCAGTGCTGCTACCCTTTCCTTGAATTTTCACTACCTGTGAGATGGTCTTAGAATGCCAGAGAATATTAGGTGAAAAGAATACAAATATCCCCAGGAGGCATCCTGTTATTTCGTTTTAGATTCTCATTTCTTTGTGGTCCTCTCTGTGTGTTGTACAGATGTTGGGGCACATTGCTGGTATGTGTTTTAGGGGTTTTATTTATTTTTAAGGGAGAAACTGTATTTTTTGTTGCCATGCTTTCTAGCAACGGTGTTAATTCTGGTGATAGGTATCAAGATACAATAAAAGTGTGTATATTAAATTTTATAAAGGCTAAAAATTTGATATTAAAAGGCAAAAAAAGTCTGAGAAGACTTATTGTTCACAACTCTTTGAGAATTCTAAGTTTGATTAAGAGATGGATTGGTTAAAATGTTGAACTTTTTGCACTAAGCAATACAGCATGAAAGTGACTACTCAGCAAGTAACAACGATGACTTAATAAATATGAATTTTGAATTAAATTTTTAAAATTACTTCAAAGATGATAGGTTGAATGAAACTTATTTTTTTCATGAAACAAGTCTT